GAAATAATTATAACTAATTAATGGAAGTTAAAATGTATGAACTTATTTTTTTCGAAAAAATATTTGTATAATTAAACAAAAATGTAGGTATAATCTTTCCTTTTTACCATAAATATAAGGTAAAAAGTGTACAAGGTGGTTCGCCAAGAACTTTAGAGAAGTTTTATAAAAGATTTTAATTTTTGCCTTCACCATTTTTTTTCTATCTTTAACAGAACAAGTGCTAGAACCCGACCGGGTTTCATGGACCACCTTGTATATTACGTTTCACCGATTATATCATCCGATTTATCGATTAGCTTGCAATATAAATCTATCTGCTTTTACCATATATGCAGATAATAATAAATTCTATCACGTTTTATCGATAATAATCAATTTTACAATGCTTTATCGATAATTAATTCTATCGCGCTTTATCGACTTCAATGGCGATACAATCTCTAAAGAATAAAATTCTGAATTTCTGTTCTAAATAAATTCGATATCAATTTCAATAAAGTCACGATAATTCGTCACGGTCTTTATCTTTCCTTACATTTTTTCTTTTTTATATGCTATTACTTTTTTGTTATAATATAATAATAAAAAAATTTTTTGTGTACTTCTTACAAGAATTGTAGAACAGAATAAATTACTATTATAATACAAATATACTACTTACCTACGCACATCCTGGGACCTAATCCGAACGGTAGGTAAACGCTCATGTCGCGGTTATTCTCAGCGAATCTGTTAGGGTTGAATACTTCCGGCGCATGCCAAACTTCGGATCTTCACCGAGTCCGTACAGAGAAATAAATACCGGTGTTCCTTTCTCGATAATGATATCGGTGCCAGAAATCTGAAACACATACACATTTACGCCTTTTCGATATTCTAATAAATTATTAGAATGAACAAAAAAATTTATTTCTAAGAGAGTAAACTTTATGAACAAGATTATTTTGTAATAAATAATCCCTCTGTTAAGTTTTTCACAGTATTCAACTTCTAAACGTATAAGTTTTAAAAAATTATACTTCTCTACTATCTTAAATAATTTTACATCAAAGTTTGCAATGATTTAGAGTTTTTGAAGAAGGACATTTCGAGAAAAGTTTTTTGTTTGACATTTGCGCGAGTCAACAGCATTAATTCAAAAGGACTTTGAATCTCGACTTAAATATTTCAGAAGAGAAAGATGTCTAAATGTATGACATTTCGGACTTACTCTGTAATCCTGACGAGTGTATCTGTCGATGGTGGACACTGGTGGATGCAACCTGAGAGCTTCGGCTATTACTTGATCAAGATACTTCATATCGTTGAACGCTTCGTACGACCAGCCGTGCTTGGCGATTGCTTGATTAATGTCCTGCCTGGCTAAGTCTTGACACTCTGGATAATTCGCTAGTTCCATCAGGGTGAAGGACATGCAGGTACTGCTCGATTCGAAGCCGGAAAATAAAGTGCCGGACTGATGCAGCAGATTTTCACCCTCAAATTCTGCAGTAAACATCAGCCGATTGTAATGTATTTTTATATTATCTCTTGATTTATTTAACTGCAGTAAAATACACGGTAAAAAAAAGATCATAAAAATTATCAGAGGAAGGTCGTACAAAAAATAGGAAACGGAAAACGTAAAAGATTATACTAAAAACGTATAATAATAATATTCCGCTAACTATTGCCGAGATACAAAGAAATGAATAATAAAAAATTGAAAGCACAAATTTACTCACTGTAAACAGGATTTTGTTCGCCGTACTTGAGTTGGAGCAACGAGTCGATGAAGTCGCCTCGTTTCTCGCCGGTTTTTTCGCGATTCTCCATCGCGCTCCAGAAAACCTTACGCGCGAAGGAGAAGTCGAAAAGTATCTTCGTCCCGATCAGCTCCACCAGCTCGGGCATGAAGAACACCGTCACCAGAGCGACCATCCTCTTGAACGAGTGAAAGTATTTGTAAACTGCAAAATTATTGCGCATGTAGCATTAAAGTTGCATCGCAGTTAATGACACGACAGCCGTCTCTATCGATTGCTCTGTCGCGCATTCAGCCGTTTAATTCACAAACTAATACCTCCGGACGAGAACTCCGTGTTCGGATGGTGAAAGGTGTCCATTTTCGTGCCGAAGGCGACGGACGCGATCAAATCGGTCGTGTATTTGTAACTAAGCTCCTGTACGTCCACGAGCTTCGCATTGCCGCGGACCGCTGGCTGCTTCTCCAGATACTCCATCATCGGCGTGCCGATCTCCATCATCAGCGGGAACATCTGCCTCAGCTTGTTCCTCGTCAGCGTGGGCGCGATCTTGGTGCGCAGGTACTTCCAGACCGGGTTCTTCACGCCGAACAGATTTCTCATACCGATGCTGTCCTTCTGACTGGGGCCAGCGAAGTGGCGATCGGAGAAGTTCTTGAAGTCGCGGATCATGAACTGCCTAATGACGTTCGGGTCGCGCAACAGCAGACACGGCTTGTGGAAGATGTAAAAGCCGACGTAAGCCGCGTCCGCCCGAGCAGCTTTGTACAGCTGACCGATATGCCATCCCGGCGCAGAGCGGAAGAGTATGGCGTCCTTGAAGTTGCCGAAGATCAGATCGCTCTCGAGGGACTCGACGCCGCGTTTCTTCCAGTAATTGAGCTTGCCTCTGCATGAGTATAAAGTGAAGCGTATATTTGAAACACCGAACACAGGTGTGTTTAGTTGCATTACGACTACTTTTCCTTGTTCTGTTCCTTTTGACCCAAATTTTACAGTTGAAATGCAGATAATAATTTATTTTATCATGTTTATCGACAATAATCAATTCTGCAACGCTTTGTCGATAATTAATAATCGATTTCAATGGCGAGATACGATCTCTACCCTGATGGAAATATTTTGCTGAAAGTACTATGAAATCAATGAAAAGTAAAATAAAAGTTTTTGAAAAATTACTGAATATATTTCAAAATAAATCATAATTTTTCGTATAAAAATTTAATGTAATACTATGAAATATAAGGAAAGCTAAAATATACTGCTGAAAAGTAATAAAAGAGTTTTGGAATATTAGACATGAAATTTACTGAATTAAACTGAAAACTGTTACTTTTTAATGAAAAATTGCTAAAATATTTATAAAATTAATTAATGGGGTCAATTGAGAGAAATTTCCAAATACATTTCAGCAAAATTTCGTTATATTTTCAGAAAAATATTTCCATCAGGGTAGAGAGTAAAAATGTTCTGAATTTGATGTAAAATATGCACTTAGAAATGCAATTTGAATCTAGCAAACTTCTATAACTTATTGTATTATAATATCATAAATTATAGGTATTTTATATGTTATATTATATATAAATAACTTTAATTATTATTGAATATTATTTCTCTACTTTACTAACCTGGCATATATTAAGAAAAGTATTACTGCCGTAACAATCAATACAAGACTAACGAGTATCATCATTTCGCACAGTAATCGACAACGTAGATGGGCAAATAGGTGGACACTGAATTCAGTGCAACACTCGATGGACTATTTATACGTAGTTGATGACTGATGGTAAGCTTATTACGTCGATCTTGCAACTGGTTCGTAAGAAATATATGTAAGTACTTACCCGGTAAAAAA